ATAAAAAATAATAATCTACATCATAAATAGAAATTTGATGTCTTTTTCTATCTATCACATCTTTTGTTTCCATTCACAACCTAAATCATATTGAATGATTTGATCAATCAAGTCTTAGTAATATGTAATATAATTTTCTAATTAGAAGTGGTGATGCAATTTCTGCCTAAGTAAGTAGACAAATGATGTGGACACTTACTAAAGAGATTAGTGGTTGTGAAGGGATGCAGAGAGAGAGAGAGATAGAGAGAGAGAGAGAGAGAGAGAGAGAGAGAGAGAGAGAATGATTGAGAGGAATTTGGAGCCCCATAAGAGTGTTTTTAAATTCACTTTGAGAGAATCTTAAAGAAAGAGACTTATATGTGTGGCATTTAAAAAAAATTTAAATTTTTTTTTAAAAATTTTGTATATTTATATGAGAATTAAAAAATTAAAATAAAAATTGTTTAATGTAATAAATAGTCAAAAATTAAGTGTTATAAATATTTAATTGTCCCTAATATTTTTACGGGTATCCTTTTATAGAAAAATTAGACTAACATTTCTTTGCTATTGAAGTACAACACAAAAATCATTTGCAGGATTAAATAAAAAAAAAAAAATTTAAGCTTACTTTGGAGCAGCTTTCTAGTACAAAATATTTTAAAATTAGAAATTTTTATACCAGAAAGTTATTTTAAAAAGCAATAAAAAAGCCATTCCAAACGAAACCTTAATGTCAATCAATAAGGAAACAAAGTTCTCTTTTAATTCAAGTGATTCTATAGCAAAATCGGCCATCCATAATGAATGGCAGAAATCTTTTACAAATTATTAGAACCTTCCAAAATAAGCTTTAGTAGAAGCTTCTAAAAGACAAGAACCTTCTATAATGTCAAAGAAATCTTCTTAAAAATAAGGAGAACCTTCCAAATTCCTTGCAAAACATCAAAATCATAAAATAAAAATGCCTATCATTCAAAATATAATGGCCATTATATTTACAACTTTCTTTAGCAATTTACTCCTTATCATTGTATAATAAAAAAAATTTCAAAGTCCTAAAATGTGACATATTTAATAATTACAATAAATAAAAGCCTACATTATTATCATATACAAATTATCCATGTAATTCAAACATAAAATGATTAAAGTATTTTTCCTATTATTAATATGAATAAAATGTTTTTTTAAGAAAAATTACTTTTTAATAATATCAAATTAATTATCATTTAATCATAAACGGTTATGATTGCCTTTTATGCTTGAAGATCAACATAAAGAGCATGGCATATGGCTTGCATAAACCTGTGATACAAGGGAAATAAACTGATGGCTTACTTTGAATCACTTTTGCTTTTCATTAAAAAAAAAAAATGTTTTTTAATGTGATTTTTTATTGATTTTTTATTATTTTTTTAATAAACTACATTATTTCACAAATTTTCAAAATAAATTTGAATATTCTAAAAAATAACTATCATTGTCAAAAGTGGCTTTGTTTTGGATAACTTTCTTACCGCTTCTTAAAGCAATTTTTTAGTACAAAATTTTTAATTTTTTTGTACTAAAAAACTGCTTCAAGAAACAATAAGAAAACCATCTCAAAATATTTTGTACTAAAACACTACTTTAAAAAACAAAATAAAAAAATCGTCCGAAATGAAACCATAGACTCCTTAGGAGAAGGCAACAAACTTATATCTTCTAACTATGTTTTTGTCATGTTGAATTACGAAGATAGGCTGAACTCTTTAATCGAAAGTATTTATGGGTATTGCACCTAAGATGCCATTAACTATGAAGGATTACGACTTTGTTAAACTTTAATCTCCATAATTAAATAACATTTATTAGACTAATCATGAAATTCAAGAATTTTTTTTTTAATATATTTTCAATCTATACATTTTCAATGAGAAAAAGATCAAAATGATCCCTTAACTCTTTATAAGATACCAAAATGATCCTCAACTATGTTCTGCAACTCTTTAAAATAAGACCTTTTTGATCCTGTTGTTAAAAAACAATGAAAATTTTGGATGACAGCAACGACATGATCGGAATAACCACAAAAATAATTATACAAAAAAGGGAGAACAATAGTTACGCTAAGAGCGAACAAGCTCCCGTTGCTACGTCCAATCCAACAGGAAGAAAGACAAACCTTCATGACTTCCAATTCAACAGAAAGGAGCATCATCGAAGGAGGCGTTAGCGAGTCGCTTAAAACCCTAAGATAATATTAATTAAGTTAAATAATTAATATATGACTAAAATATTAAAAATTATAGCTAAAAATGTTATTACTTTCTCTTATTAAACAAATGATTAAAGCAATTTTTAAAATATTATAATTACTCAAAAATATATATCTAATAAATAGTTAAATTAAAAATTAATAAAATAGTCTTACTTTTTAACACCATTAAATCCAACATCCATTAGTTTGAATGTAAGGACTAAAATTATCCAATTTTAAAGAATTGAGAGATCAAAATGATCTCTCAAAATAATTTTTCTTACTGTTTTTAAAAGAAGTTTTTTAATGCATAATTTTCTTAAAATAAATATTTTTGTACTAAAAAATTACTTTAAAAAACAACAAAAAAATTGTCCCAAACAAAGCCTAAGTTTTCATTTGGGACGGCTTTCTTACTACTTAAAGCAGCTTTATAGTACAAAAATTAAAAAAATTGTACTATAAAGTTTCTTTAAGAAGCAGAAAGCAGTCCCAAACAAAGCCTAAATCTACGGTTAACAGCAAGAATTTGAAATTTCAGATAATCCTTGGATTTCATAAATAATTAAGAGCTTAAAAACTCATTAATTAGAAGCAGATTGTACTTAGCATAGTTCAACACAATAATTAAAAAAAAAAAAAAAACAATGTGCATTCACTTCAAATGAAATTATCGTTTGAAGCTACATGTTAACATCAAGTGTGTATGTTTACACTCTATGAAGCACAATGCATTAAATATATATAAAAAAAAAATCATATTTCATAACAATTTAATTCATATTTATGAATTAAATTCCAAAGTTTCATAAACACAATCATATTAAATTCAACTAAATTCGATGTCCAAATAAAGCAAGACATCTATCATGTAGTCCCCAAATCCTCATTCCTCAAAGAAATTATTATGTACAATCGCTGGACGGTCCAGAGATAAATCAGGATACGCCACGTCACCCGATACACAATAATGCACAGCATCAGTATACATCAAAAAACGATGTAGCGCATCTTAATTTATCTCTAGACGCCGTTAAGTGACCGCACTAAATAATTTCTCCATTCCTGAAGCCCCTCATCCTCGTCTTTTTTCTTCAAAAGATGCAATATTCTTTTAAATCCTCATTCTTCAAGCCCCTCATCTATAGTCTTTTTTCTTCAAATGATGTAATAATCTTTTCTCTTAACATTATTCATGTTGCCGACCCTACTGTGGGATAAAGTCTTATTGTTGTTGTTGATGTAATAATCTTTTAATTTATGCTTTTACTTGAATAGAATGGTTATATTATAATTGACTATGGTCTAATAATTTAACGCATTCAAACGAAATATAGGTCAATATATAGTATGGAGAGGACACTTGTCAACTAAGAGTAAAAAGACATGCACCATGCACCAACAATTGCACCCCAACCCTATTGGTGGTGCAACCCATAAGTAAAACGCTTAACCTGACTACCTTAAGGATACTTTATCTCCGGCCAATCCTATAGCACAAGTTAGGGGTGTCAATATTTGACACGACATAAAAATCTGACCCATAAATTTCGGGTTAGACCCAACCCGATTTCAAAACGGATAGGGTTCGGGTTGACCTAGCGGGTTGGCGGGTCAACCCGAAAACTCATTTGAAATGCCTACCCGTGAAGCTGCACGCAGCTGCCCGCTGCCCGGCACCTGCCTGAGGCTTCCCGCACGTGCCAGCCGCTGCCCGGGCGCCCGTCGAAGCTGCTCGCCTGCCCGCATATAAAATTTTGATTAAACAGTGTAAGGGCATGCTATGAACTTCATTATGGGTAGGGGTGTCAATATTTGACACGACCTAAAAATCCGACTCGAACTCGACCGAAAAATTTCGGGTTAGGGTCAACCCAAAACCAAAACGGGTCGGGTTCAGGTTTACCAAATAACCCGAAATTGAAGTTTTTTTTTCCCGAAAACCCGTTTTTGATCTGGAAACCCGAGATTGAACCATTTTTACCCGATTTTGACCCGAAAATCGAAGATTAACCCTTTTTTTACCTGAAAACCAGCAATTTTTGGTCGGTCCTAAGTCATTCGGGGTCGTGTCGGGTTGACCCGGACTCGAAGCGGAGGGGGGGCTTAAAAAAAGTTATTATAAGATTTTGGAACTTATATAAAATTTTGATTAAACAGTGTAAGGGCATGCTATGGACTTCATTATGGGTAGGGGTGTCAATATTTGACACGACCTAAAAATCCGACTCGAACTCGACCGAAAAATTTCGGGTTAGGGTCAACCCAAAACCAAAACGGGTCGGGTTCAGGTTTACCAAATAACCCGAAATTGAAGTTTTTTTTTCCCGAAAACCCGTTTTTGATCTGGAAACCCGAGATTGAATCATTTTTACCCGATTTTGACCCGAAAATCGAAGATTAACCCTTTTTTTACCTGAAAACCAGCAATTTTTGGTCGGTCCTAGGTCATTCGGGGTCGTGTCGGGTTGACCCGGACTCGAAGCGGGTTGGATTCAGGTTCAGGTTAACCCTAGTAGTGCCGGGTCAGTTCCGAGTCCGACCAGAACCCGACCCACGACCGGAAATTGATACCCCTAATTATGGGTAAAGTTTCACATACCTAGACATATGCACTCACACTTAATTAAGAGATGTGTGCATAATTTATACAAAATAACATCTGTTTTTATCTCCAAGCTTACTGCAAAAACTGCTTTTAAAACATAGGCTCCAAAAAGACACTCAAAGGAGCACTTGTTCTTATGAGAAAATACTCAAAAGAAAAGATTGGAAATAAGGCCAAAGATAAAAAGTTTTGGGACTCTTATGCGATCTTGATTGTACAGTGCAAAGGCATATAAGAGCATCCACAATCGAATGACATACATGTAATTGCCGTCCGCCAAACGATCCAACCGAACATATTTTCACTCGCTATTCTCCAGGAGTGAACGGTGCGACGCCAATATTGGCGTTGCACTGTTCACACACTTTAATTTTTGTGTTGTTCGGGATTTGCCGAAAAAGCACACGAAAGGGGAGAAAGACGGTTACCTTTAGCAGTGCGATAAAGAAATGGGCGAAATAGAATTCGATTAAAGACAAATTACCGCATTTCAGAGTTTTACTATATTTTGGAATGGAAAGTGGGTTTTTCGGTTGGAGATGCCCTAATGGACTTCATCATAGGTAATGTCTTGCATGTCACACTTGCATCTTGAGGTACAGTATGCCTGTAGAATCACATCACAGCATGATCTAAAGTTGTCTAATAAAACCATTGAAAACTCCAAGACGCAACTGTTTCCAGAAGGTTGAAGCTGATATTGAATTCTGACAATCAGCAAATGCAAATAGATAAACATTCATTGTTGCAGCAAAATCGCAAGAGAACATCCAAACTTTGTAATGACTCTTTTATATTGATGTAATGATTTCTTTATTAGAAAAAAGAGCACAGGACAAGAAGGAAAATAGTAAGAAAATTTGCTGCATCTGCAAGGAAAACAAATTGTGCAGGATATCCTGAAACAATTTGATAAGAATGGGTTTTAGAATCATTTGATTTGCTTTAAAATTAGTGCTGTACATGAAGAACTTATAATATACTCATCAAAAAGCAAATCCCAAGTTTACAGGCTCATACTGATCAAAAACTCTATCAGGACATCCTGAGCAGTTTTTCTTTTCCTATTTGCAGGCCAAAATTAAATAACTACTATATTCAAAATGCATTCTTTATGTATGCTAGTCAAGCCTACTCTTTATAATCAGGCAATTTCATTCTGTAAAACCCAATGCAGGAAAGGATAAGAACCAAAAGAGACTGAGAAGCAGAGAGAGAAAGAGAGATTAACGAAAGAAATGATAAAGAAAACACCAACCAAATGAATCAAACAGAAGAGTTTCCGAAATAGCTACCACTGTTACCATCATAATCATCAATCCATTTCCAGAAATGCTTTCTGACAAAAACAGCCGATCCAATACTCAACTCCACCTCGCCTTCTCCTGTTTCTTCTGTTGAAAATTCACCTTCCTCCGGCAAGCTCTCAACTTGAGCCTCAATGGAGTGCAGTATATACCGAGCAGGCAAGCCAGGATATGAAACTGATGCCTTTTCCTCAACCCGCACCAGATACGAACCTGGCACGAGCTTGACGGAGCTGGAGGCAGCAATACCGAGCTCCTCCCGCACCGCTCGCAGAGCAGCGTCTTCCACTGTCTCCCCCGGCCGCATCTTCTCTGATAGCGGTCGGCCTCGCTTCCGAACGGTGCCGTCGGAGAGGAGCTGGTGGGAATCCACAAGTAGAGCGCCCCGGCTATTACGGATTTTCACTATAGCTACATGAACGGCCCGAAGGGGAATCGTCTGCTGTTCGTCTTCTTCTAAGTTTGATGCTTCAAATGACCGATCTTGGGATGGCGAAGGGAGAAATAGGGAGGTCTCGCCCTGAGAAAGCTCGATCCAGAGATTGTTGACAGTTTTGGTACCGGGGGAGGTGCCCCAGGAGGCGAGGGCGCCTGGAGGAAGGCGGGGTTTGAGCCAATCGGAGAGAGATTCGGGCGAGGAAAATACTAGGGTCGGCCGCGGGGGATTGGTGCGGCTCATGGCCTTAGGCGGAAGGCTGCGACGGCGGAGGTTAAGGCGAGGAGGGGGTGTGGAGAAGGGGTTCTTCACAACGATTAGAAAGGAAAGGGCAGCGGCGAAGATGAGGAGAAGATCTGGAGGAGGAGGGGAAGGGAGCAAGGAGGAGAAGAAGGCAGCGGCCAGTTTTCCGGCGAAGGGCCGTGAAGGAGGCAGCGTCATGCTACAGCACCTAACTCCAGGTTTCCATGATCGCCGGTGAGTCAATTGGCAATGAAGGCGGCCGGTGCGAGATGGATTGGAATAGACCGAGAAAGCCTGTTAGATATCGCATCTTTTTCGGCGGCGCTGTTGTATGGGTGGAAAATATTATTGCGGGTATTTTTAGGGTTGGGAAGTTTAAAGACCTGAATAATGAATATTTTTATTTTGAATATTTATGTGTATATCATAAAAAAAATATTTACAAAACTATCATTTAAATATTCGAAATAAACCAACTGAATCATGCATTCTATATAATGCAATCACAGGGGGACTCCATACATAACATTAAAAATTATATAATTTATAAAATTAATATTTAAATTTTATTAATTAAATCCATAATGCTCATAACTTTAAATAAGAAATAAATAGAATCCTTCTTTTCAATCCAATCACCACACCATTAGTCTCGGGGAGAGATTATTACATGCGGTCACTGGACAGTCTGGAGACGAATCAGGATGCGCTACATCACTTGGTATATAGCAAAAAAGTGACGTGGCGCCTCCTGATTCGCCTCCAGACAACGTCTGGTCTGGTGACCGCACGCAATACTTCCATAATCTCATGATCCTTGAAACGATGCCAATCTCTTCGTCTTACATCACATGTCATCGATGTAGTGATCATCCATCATGATTTCTTCACTTATGAGGTGGTCCTCTATAGAGACTTCCTTACTAGTCTCACCAACCCTCACACATTATCGACATCTTTGCCATTGTGACTTCCTTTTTCGTCTATTTTTCGTCTATTTGTCATTTCTCCACTATTTTAGAAATCTCATTCCCCTTCTTATCTTTCGCTTGTTGTTATTCCCATTCTTCATCATTCGTACACTCCCAGTCACATTATTGCCCATCCCAACAAAATTTATGCACGATTTCCTCATCTCCTCATCGTTTAACAACACCTGACAAGGATTTCATAAAGTTCTTACCAAAATAGAACGAAATGCCATATTGCATGAATAGTAAATTTAGATATTAAAATATATAAATGATATAATCTCGAGTGATATGTAGGTAAATCCCCTACAATAAAATGACAAACTAAATAAAATAAAAATCAACGCCGGTTTTCAAGAACCACTTTGAGTTCATGCAACACAAATATTTTACATAAAAATTCTGAGATACAATAAATCTCAAAATTATTAGATTTGCTTTAAGATTAGTACATTACATAAAGAAAAAATCAATTAACTTTTTTGTCACTCCCATCTCAAAACACACACACCCTCAAATATTTCCCACAACATTCCCACTATGCCAAAATGCAAAAACATAAGGGCTAAAATGCAAAATACAAAGCTTCATTTTTTCTTCTCTATGATGAAATGCAAGCTGGTTTTGAATAGAAGAAGACACCTCTTTTGTTATATATAAGCCTCTATTCAATGCTAAATGCAGCTATCAGCTTATCCCAATACCAAAAATATTGATGGGTGTTTCATCACTTCACTAATCTTTCTTGTCTTCTATGAGTCACTACAGTCAAATTTGGAGTCTTTCACTGAATATGTAAGGCTTTACAATTTCAACTTTCAGCTATTTGGTAAACAACATTTGTCATATTTTAGTTGAATGAAATCATGAGCAATAGCATAATGATTGATGGAATTGTAAAAATGCGACGAGTATATGACATACCTGGTTTTTTTTGCTATATGAGAGGATCCTGTCAGCTGGCCACATGGTTGAGAGTTTCAATGGCTTTTGAAATATTATTACGTATACGAGTATTTGCGCTTCGACGTTATATTTCAAAAAGAAAACAAAAAGAATGTAAGTGCTATTCGATAGGATCCTGACATCTTTAGCTTGTTGGTTGGGAGTGTACGTAATCTTCCAGCTCGAGGTCTTTGTTAGGAAACGCTTGCAGAAAACAAAGAAATTCCTTGACTGAAATTTAATTTCAGCAAAAAAAAAAAAGACATTAACTGAGAAGATGTAGAAAAAAATAGGAGAAAAGCTTTTTGATTAATGATATAGGTGAGAAAACAAGCAATATATAATTGATCTTCAATTTGAGAGGAAGATCTGACTCTCTGAATTCATAGCCGCTGGCTAGAGCCCAAGCAAATCCTAGAACAACTTACTTTTAGCAAAAATCCCAGATAACCATAATCCTAGCCACCAAAATCATAATTAAGCTTATGATAATTAAGTAAATCTCAAAATAACCCCTCCCTATGAATTTTCTTTCCTAAACCACCCTTAATTTCTTCTTAATTAGGGCTGCCACCCCAAGGGGGCCGAATTATGCCGGGCGGTACCCTTTATTATGCCGTCTGTAAACTAGGGCTGGTCCACGATTGACCGACTGGACCGGTCCAGGGACAAGTCTAACAGTCTTCTATGTATGATGTGTGTGATTTTATAATTAAATTCACTGAACATCCTAAAAAAAGGTACTATTCATATTTTTCCATCTGGAACAGCTATAATAACTATAAATTGTTATTATTGAGATATGCTACAGTTGAAAAGAAGTTCATGCAGATTTTTTTCAGAAATAACCAAGTTAGTTAAAAATTTGGCTTGAAAATTTTCCAATAAGTATTAATGAAGTCAAAGATGAGGATTAAAAGGTAATTATGTTAATTTTGGTTGAGAAACTGGTTAACTTTCTAGGTACATCAGAAATTTTTCATGGTTACTTACTACTTTTGCTGTTCAAGTAAGGTCGTGTACAGGAAAAGTAATACTTAGTTGTCCTGCAAGAGCAGCTAACCTGAGATGATTAGTAGCCTGGTGAAAGAACTTTGTTTTGATTATCCAGCAGCAATTGGATTTCTCTGCTTAATGAGATATCTCCATTCTTCCAAAAGGATCACAGAGTATCTGTGAAAGACCAATTTGAGAAACTGATCAAATTATATAAGCCTAAAATCAATCTAATCAGATCATTATATTTCCAAAGCTTCTTTTCCTTAGATTTTGATGTGAGAAAGGTGTAAAGCTTCTCACACTGTAAAAGGCGGCTTCCCAAGAGAAGAGATAACCAAAGGATCAGTTTTCATTTCTACAGTTGCTTCAAGATAAGCATTTCTTTTCCATTTTTTTAACATATGGGTGCAATTATAGGGGTGTCAATTTTTGGCATGACCCGAAACACGACCCGAATCCGATCAGGAAAAATTCGGGTTAGGGTGAACTCGGACCCGAAACGAGTCGGGTTCGGGTTCAACAAATCAATTCATTTTAAAAATCGGGTCGAGTTGACCCAGCAACCCGAAAATGACCCGAAATTGACACGAAAACTTTTATTTGACCCGGAAACCCAAGATTGATCTGATTTTGACCCGAAAATCGAAGATTGACACGATTTTTTTCCAGAAAATTAGCAGTTTTAGGTCAATTTCAGGTCATTCGTGTCGTGTCGGGTTGACCCGAACCTAAATCGGGTGGTGTTCGGGTCCGGAAACCTGACCGGTTTTTAAAAACGGGTCAGATTCTGGTTGACCTAAATAGTTCCGGGTTCGACCCGAACCTGACCCGCTGACCCGAATTGACACCCCTATGCAATTATACCCAATTGAGCAAGCATCAAAGAGGATAGTGACGGTTAAAATGTCAGGTTCTGCTGTGTTTTATAGCTTCAGAGAAAACACCATTGAAAGCCATGAAATCTTTCATTCTAAGAAAAAATAATGCAAAAAATATTTATGAAAGTTGTGCTCAGTCTTACTTCTGCTATTTCCATTTCTTGTGAGATAGAATCCATATCCCTTCTTCTCAAAAGACCAGCAACTGAAAGAAGAAGTGATGTAGTGGATCGTCAGAAGACTCGACCTGCAAGAAGGATTTTGGGATCCCAATCCAGGGAAGAAGAAGTGAGCTTTTCAAAAGCTTCAAAGACTAAAATATATCATTCAATACCTTTCTTCTTCTACAAGACCTCCTACTTATGAGAGCAAAAGAGTATTCTAGAACAAAATGGATAAAGTACTCCTAAGGACTATCCTAGCTTAAAATGCACCGCATCATTCTCCCCTAGCGTAAAAAGGCTCGACTCCGTCGAGACGCATTATTGAAAAAGAGATTGTTGTAGAAGACAGATTCCCGGATCGAAGATTTTGTTCTCATCATTTGCATCTGCTTGTAATAAGCTACCATTTATGAATAATAAAATGTTGGATTGTGATTCTGCATCCATTTCCGTCAAAGGACCAAAAACGTTCGGCCCATTTTCTCTCTGAGTAACAACTATTGCCTCCACAGCATATATTATACCTTCTTTTGGTACGTAACCAAGGGGTCTTCCCAGCTTGTGCGTCCTTCCCATGCCACTACCCACATAAATATTAAAGCCTTGCGACTCTCCATCACCTCCGATATCAAAATATGCACCAGATTGTGGAGCCAAAAGTGAAGCGATATTCTCAACTATACGTCTGACTCCATTTGTAGCATTTAACTTCTCTTCCTTCAGTTCCCGCTTCTGCCTCAATAACAGTTGCAAAGATTCTCGGATCAGTGCTCTTGAAGCTTTGAATTGACCACACTTGGCATTGATATCAAATTCGGTTGTGCGTGGAGTTATATCAGACTCCAAAAAGGGGCGTTTTGTAGTAAATTTAGAATAATTATCTCGTAGTAGATGCACAACCTGCTTAATGGTGTCCCTAAACTCCCTTTTGGACAAGCCAATTACATCATTGAGCTCAGGAATATGGAGCAGAGAACTTCTCTCACCACGCCTCATGTAAAGATCCTTGATTCCTTGCTCCTCGATAGTGGTAGTGGGGCCATAATATGTAAGTTTCTTATTTTCCTTGCTCCCGTAAGCAGAGCCTGACAGCTCAAATATGAGATCCCGGCCTTTATTGACATTTCGTCGAGCATCTTGTGAGGGTTGTATTGAATAAGCGTTGTCAGTGTATTGCATCTCAGCCATTTGCACACCTGCAATGAAAATGTTCTCAGTATCAACGTTGTACAAGGTCGTCTCTTCGCACTCGTCAAGCTCCATGGCGGTCAGCTGGAACTGGGTCCTCAAGGTAAGGATGCCCTCAAGAGCTTTGCACTGCTCTAATGTCAATGAATTTGGGAGATCTACAGTGAAGTGGATGTAGAGTTTGCCTCGCATGAATGACTTCTGGTACATT